AAGTGAAATAAGAGATCATTATTGTAGACACAAACAAGGTTGTAATCATTATTATCCTTTGTTATAACATTAACAAAAATATACACTAATTTTTATTATGCTGATAGTATTTATAAAATCAGTTGCACTTTATATAAAGTGGTATTATTTTTATAATTCATGTATTATAGTTTTTTCTAGAGTTTGAAATCATAATTTTCATTTTTTTTTTTTTTTGAAATTACCCAACAATAAAAATTACTCGCATAAAAAATTTTGAAAATTTTTAAATTTTCTATAAACTTCTCATNCAACAATAAAAATTACTCGCATAAAAAATTTTTAAAATTTTTAAATTTTCTATAAACTTCTCATACAAAGTGAAGTATTGTTTAATTTTGTTTAGTAATTTATATTAGGACTAGGCAAAAAATCACTTATAGAAATTTTGTAGATTCAGAATAAGCATTTGATAGCATAAATTGGACAAGTCTCATAAAAATTTTGGAAGAAATAAAGATAGATTTTAAAGACAGACGTATTTTTTATAAGATTTATGAATAACGAGAAACCATTATTAATATTAATGTAACAATAGTGACCGCCAGAATCCAAAAAAGTATTAGACAAGGGAGACCACTTTCACCTGCGTTGTTCCATGTATTTATGAAAGAGCAATAAACGCCAATAAAACTTCGGCTAAAACAAAAAGAAATTGCAGTGAAAATAGGTGGGATACTAATTACAATGCTTCGCTTTATTGAAGATATAGTCGTTCTTGCAACATTTGAAGAACACTTAAATATAATCCAGCGTTAAGTGTAATGAATATTAGACTTTAAAGAATATAGTCTGAAAATAAACGCAACTAGACGAAAGCTCTAGTGTGCTACAAGAAAAACATATCATGTGTATAATTTATAGATTTATTTATTTATTTATTTGTTTTCTAATATTATATTTAATATAATATAAGGAAACAAAAAAATGATCCAAATACAGTATTTCAAATACTTAGGTAGCATTAAAACAGACGATTGGAAATCAAATGCAGGATAGGTCAAGGAAAGAATACATTCCTTAAAAAGAGAAAAATACTAACATCAAAAAATATGAACATAGTAACGAAAAAACGGCTTATACAAACATATATCAGGAGTGTAGCATTATATGGAAGTGATACCTGGACAATTAATAAGAAAAAGAAAAATATGTTAGAAGCTCTGTAGATGTAGTGTTGGAGAAAGATACAAAGAATAAGCTGGACTAATAGAAAATCAAATGAAGACATTTTGAAGACAATGGATGAAAAACGAACATTGATAGACATATAAAAAGAAAAAGATAGCAGTTGATAGGACACGCGTTGAGACATGGAGACATGCTGGATGCAAGAATCACTTCTTACAGGGAGCTCAAAACTATGGTGAATGATAGAGAAGAATGAAAAAGGCATTTATTGTGAAAAATTTGTTGAAAACAATTTTCGGATTGATAAAAAAAAAAAAATTAGGACTAGGCTTGTCTAGGGAGGAGGCTTACGATCATCACGCGCCTTCTGTGCGTAAGCCTCTTTGGGTCATCCTAGTAAGTAGGCCACTGTTTCCGGTAAAACTACCCAGTTACGCCGGGTAAGATAAATGTTTTGCAGGAAAAATATTATATCACAATAAGTGTAACAAAAATATAATAAAAATTTAATTATTAAAATCAGGAAAATTCAAAAAGAAAATATAGTTAAATGTATTGGGTATAAGTTTGACGTTTGTAAATAAGTTATTCCTATTGGGCGTATTTTAAGTAAATGACCTTAAATAAATATTCATAGCGCTAGTTCAATGGAAGCAACCGCCCATATCCCCCTGGTATACACAATAATTATTAATATTCTAATAATTGTATTTATATTATAGAATAATAACAAAAAAATTCAGTATTTTACATTACCTGGGACTATGTAAAAAATTTAATTTTGATAAAAGTATTAGTTACTATGATTTGACGTTAGGCAGCATAGTTGTTATAGATGGATCCCAATGTTTACAATAAATTCAATGACTTATACATCATATATGATATAAATAAGATTCTCAATGCTGTACTATTCTGGTAATGAATGAACAAGCTTATATACTTACAAACGTCCTGAAATTTATATATAACTTATTTATATATAGCATATAATATTTCTTGATATAATATACAAAATATAATGCCATGCGCAAATACAACATAATATCTTAATAATAACTCTGCGTGAATAAAAAAAAGTTCAAAGGGAAAAAAGTAAAATTGAACATTCTTTTTCTTCTTTTTTCACGCCTTAATCCCAATTACTTGTGGTTGACCACCCTTATCCTAAACTTCCACTTGGCACGATCTCCCACGTCCTCTACACTCACATCAGCTGTCCTCCTATCGCATTTAATAACATCTCTCCATCTCTTTTTTAGTCTTCTTCTACCTCTTCTTCCTTCAACATTAATTTCTATAACTCTTCTTACGGCTTCCGATTCTTTTCTTCTCATAACATGACCAAACCATCTAAGTCTATTATCTCTCATCATATCCACGATTGACGTTACATCTATACTCCCTCTTATCTGAAAATTAAAATTAAATTTGTTAAATGTAATGTGATCTTAGTCACTCCACTCATCCATCTAAGCATGCTCATCTTTACTACACTCATTCTATGCTCTACTTTCTTGTCATATGCCCAACAATCTGAACCATACAACATAGCTGGTCTTACTATAGTCTTGTAGAATTTACCTTTCAGCCTTATTGTAATTCTTTTATCACGTAAGACGCCAGACGCTTCTCTCCAATTCAACTCATCAATACCTCCTCTCTTTTGCACAAGTGATCCTAAATAACTCTCCACCTCTGCTATCACGTCTCCGCTAATTGTCATTGATTTCCTCATTTCACTTACCTCGTGTTCTCCTTTGTCAAACTCGTAATCTATATACTCTGTCCTACTTCTACTTATTCTTAAACCCTTTTCTTCAAGAGCTGATCTCCACACCTCTAGCGTTTGTTTAATTTTCACCCTATTTTCTCATATTAACACTATATCGTCAGCAAACAACATGCACCACGGCACCTCTCCTTGTATTTCTCTAGTAATTTCATCCATATAACAATGCCGAAGATGAATAGTTGAATATCCAAATCCTTTGCATTTAAATCCATATAATCCAAATATTTATTATTTATAAAAAATTTTGAAAATCCGACCGCGCTAAGTAATTTTCCCAGTAAAGCGTTTTATCCTTGTTTTATTATAGAATAGGACGTGTACGTGTTATTGGTATACCGAAAAATCATTATTTTTCATTAAAATTTGATGAATTTCAATCGCTCATAGCGATCAGAGTTATGGCCGGATCTCGAATTTTTGGCGCTTTTTTGGCCGTGTTGTTTGCGAATCGAAAAAAAAATCGTTTTTATGTCGTAAATTGTCACAAAAATTTTGGGCTGTGCGCTCTGACGTCTTGAGCGTGTGAAACAAAATGTAAATCGGTGAAAAATGAACGGATTGAATTGATTTTTGTATAATATCTTAAAAATGTCATATATCATTTGTTTATAAATTCATTATTCATAAATGTCATTGAGCGTTACTTGCATTGAGAATATTATTGGAGAGAAGAATAGATATGAATAGAAGCTCTTATATAGCGTTTGTGGATATTGAAAAGGCATTCGATAACGTTAATTGGAAAAGATTATTTAAAACGATGAGACAAATAGGCATAGACTGGAGGGGTAGACGTATTATCTTCATTAGTGTCATCAATACATTGTCATATTACAACAACAATAATCTTTGAAATCACGATTCTTAGTAGAGTACTTTTTATTATTATATCATGGTATATTACACATTTCATTATGTTTACATTAATTATTTTTAAATAAATTGAAAAATTCTTGATAGTAATTTTATATGCATTAAGATTGTTTTCAAATATTTTCTTTTAGTGTTTATATGGATTTGCGAGTAAAAGTTATTTTATTATGGAAGAAATCGTCAATTTTTTAATTATCATAAAAAAATTATTATTTTTTACAAGTTATACACGATAGAAATAAAGAGAATAGCTTTGGCTAAACAAGTTTTTTACTAAGAAACAAATTCTTTTAACAAGCAGGCGCTTATCGATTAAAATTAGAAAGCTTTTTATCAATATCTATGTTTGGAGTGTAGCGTTATATGGTAGTGAGTCATGGACCTTAAGCACTCTAGATAAAAGAAGAATGGAAGCATTAGAGATGTGGACATGGAGAAAAATGATGAAGATCAGCTGGAGAGAAAGGATATCGAACATGAAAATATTAAATATGATTGAAGAACCAGGATTAATTATCAGAATGATGAAAATATGAAAAATTAAGTTTTTGAGACATATTATGAGACATGACACTTTAGTAACAAATATTATGAAAGGGAAGATAAATGGGAAAAGAGGAAGAGGACGGCCGAGAGAAACAATCTGGGAAATATGAAAATGCTATTATCTAAAAATTGTACATGATTAATTTAATATAAAAGTGACTTTCATTACCATTAAAATTATAACCCATTATTTCAAAATATTTTGACATGATAATAGCACAAGTAATATTTTATAGATTCCAGCGATAAAAACTCAGATTAAAATTATTTGGTAACCATTGTTATTGATCACATAAGAATGCTATCAAATGGAATATTTATATATATTCTGTCTTATCCGTTCAAGCATTTTGCTTTGAAAAATTAGACTTTAGATTTTTCTAATAAGCTTTCGCGAAATTTTTACTTGTATTTTTAACTTTACTAAATAACTTTGAAGTTTCACTGAAAATGGGTTGTAAAGTTTTAATGAATGGTAGAGAAAATCTGAAAGCTTTTTTTATTCTAACTTAAAATTTAAATTTTAAAGTACTTCAACATAAAGTTATACAGAATAAACTATTTTTTTTTTATTTGAATAAAGTGTGGTAAATATATTTTAATACATTTTTTTCAGGATAACTTCAACGTTTTACATTTAGCAGCAACATATTCCAGAGAAGACGTGATAAAACTTTTGCTAACAAAGAAAGGAATAGATGTGTATTGCCCTGGAGGAGTACGTAAAAATCAATGTAATTTGTTTTTATTGATTTAACTCACTTTTATTTTAACTATTATATATAGTCTAAACAACAAACTGCCATTCATATGGTAACAAGTAGACAAACTGGTACTGCAACAAGTATTCTAAGAGTTTTACTCGCTTCTTGCGGTAAAGATATTCGTACAATTGCTGATGGGGTATTTTTATCAATTCATAAAATTATTTATTTATTAAAAAATATATATTCATCTAGGATGGTAAAATACCATTACTATTAGCAGTTGAAACTGGTAATCAGTCAATGTGCCGAGAACTTTTATCAACACAAGCAGCTGAACAATTAAAATATAAAACTCAATCAGGAGATATGGCAGTACATTTAGCTGCAAAAAGGAAAGATATCGATATGATTAAAATTTTAATAGATTATGGGGCTGGAGTTGATAGTCAAAATGTCAGTAATTTTCCAAAACTAGTTGACAGAGAATCTACTAAATTATCAATAGAAATATTTTCAGATATATCCATATCTTCAATTCAATCTAGTAAAAATATTTACGGTAAAAATTTTTATATAGTTGCAACATTAAAATAGTAACTATCCCTCTGAAGATGAGCTACAATGAGCTCGAAATGTTTTTTGAAGAAATGGATATGTCAGAAAACATTTCGTCGCTTAAGAAGCAACTTCATTTGTCTCACATTTTAACCAAAATCAGTTAACAATACCATTGTATTCATTATTATAAATGAAATAAACTATATTTTCAAATTTTTTATTAAGTTAATAAAGAGAGCACTCAAAAAGAAAATGGTTATACGATACAATAGAGTTACAATAGTACTGGCATTTGTTTTTATTCGTCTATTAAATTTATAAATCTGAGTGAGGTGCTGTTGCTTCTTTAGATATAATTTTTTTAATCTACGAACTTTGGCACATTCTAAATTATTCATTAAATAAAGTACAATTATACTTTTAAATAGGGTGAAGGTCAAACGCCTCTCCACATTGCTTCAGCGGACGGTGATGAAAGTTTAGTCAAATATTTTTATAGTGTTAAGGCTAGTGCTTCTATAACAGATAATCAAGGTAAGTAACTAATAATTAAAACACGTAAAAGTATACCAATCTAAAAAAAACCCCAGCACAGGGGGGTCGCGGCACAGTGGTGACGTGGCATAGTTGGATTAAGTATAATGATATCTGACAGTGATTAAAATCACTATCAAAAAAAAAAACGCTTCGATGCAAATCTTTAGATACTGTTTAATTTTAAAAAATTGGTGGACTATTCCAAAAGCTACATTATCTGCTAGTTCATTATTAATATCCTAATTAAGATAAAGTATGTCGAATGAAAAAGGGATTATTAAAAAATAGTATTTCCCATAAAAAAATTATATTGCTCAATACACTTTTCAATATGTCATAGCATTATAAAGTTAAAAATGTAAAAAATAACTTATTTATAAACTTTATTAACTTTTATTATTTTAAGTTATTTTAATAAAAATAACTTAAAATAATAAATTATAATATCATGAAAATTATATACTTTTTAAGACTATACAAATAACATAACATATCATATTTGTTTAAATTATTAAAAAAAAATTATAAATTTACGAAAAATGTAAAAAAATTTTCAAATAGACATTTGTAGGGTAGATTATAATTAAAAATAAATATTGAGACATTTCACAAAATGTCTATTTTAAAAATATTTTAAAAGTCAATTTTATGGTTTGGGTTTGTCAAATAATCGACAAATAATAAATTAATTAAGTGTTATTATACGTAAAAAAATGTTTTACAGTACAGTCTATTGAAAAAAATTTAGTACAACCCTATATATTTTATCAATTAATTTTTCAATGTGTGATTGAATTAGAGATATTGCCATAACAAGTTTTGATACATTAAAATAAATTTTCTTAATTTGTACCGTTCATATTGCCCTAAACATTGAGTTAATTCATTTTTTTTTTTATGTAATATTCACTGTATATTCTGGTAATATTTTGTCTATATTGTTTTTACATAGTATTTGTGTTTAGATCGAACTCCTATGCATTTGGCTGCTGAAAATGGACATGCAAACATTATAGAATTATTAGCGGATAAGTTTAAAGCATCAATACTCGAAAGAACTAAAGATGGTAGTACTTTAATGCATATAGCATCACTAAATGGTCATGCGGACTGTGCTACTATGTTATTTAAAAAAGGTGTATATCTTCATATGCCAAACAAAAGTGGAGCTAGAAGTATACATACAGCAGCTCGTTATGGGCATGTTGGAATCATTAATACCTTGTTACAAAAAGGAGAAAAAGTAGATGTTATAACAAATGTAAGAATACATTAGATAATATTCTTTGTCTTTTAGATATTGTATTTTAAAATTATAAATATTATTTTATGGAAATGAGATTCTTTTAGCTGACAGATTTGATTAAGGTAGATATACTGGTTTTGGCCACAAATTAAGTTAAGTTAGAAGTACTTAAAAAATTATTCAAACCAATATGCTCTAAAACCCATAATTGTGATTAGAAAAAATTTAATCAATCCAAATGTAAATTATTAACTCATGATTTGCTAATCAAATATCAAGTAGCCTTTGCACTACAATTACTAAGGTGGCCAAAAACTGGTATTCATCCTATATATTTAAAAACTATCTAAAGAAATTTTCTGTTTGTTACAACTAAGAATAATGTAAAATATATAAAATATTTTTTCCTTGTTTGGCGAATTATTTATTTAAACTTAAAAAAATTTTTAAATTAACTTTTATGTATCAAATTTAATTATTTATATATACTTATTTAATACTTTATAACCATATTTATAAATTCACTAGATTATTTTTAGTGCAGCATAAAGTTATTAAATTACTATTCAAATTGATAAGACTACACATAATTAACTTAATTTCAACATTTTGTTATCAATTAATTTCTCAACTCTGAATATAGTATTAATACTTTATAAGGCAATTTGCGCACAATGGACCAACAGGTCTGAGAGCATAGGCATTATGTCCACTTCGTTAATAACTATAAGGCAATTAATTTATTAATGCAAAACTAAAATTATAACTAAATGTACAATAACTAAATAAATATATTTTTTTAGGATAATTACACTCCTTTACATATTGCGGTAGAATCCGTTAAACCAACTGTAATCGAAACTTTATTAGGATATGGAGCTGATGTTCATGTACAAGGTACGAAATAAAATGTGGGCTAAATACAAATTGAAAAGTGATTTAGTTAATTTTTATTTATGTTTCAAAGTTTTGTAGTAAGAAATGTATGCAAACATTTAAAATAAAGCTTATATGAAAATTTTTGCTTTTTAATGGTTAAAAACTTTTACTCCTTTTCTTTAATTAATAAAAACATCAAAAATCGCAAGACAAAAAAAAAGTTTTTTTTTTAAATTTTTTCAAATAAGAATTAGTTAGAAAGAAAATGTTGAAAGACAAAAAATAAATCGATAATTATTATAATTAATTTATATCATTTAATAGAATTTCTCGAGATATTTAAATAACTATATGTTTATCTTTGATGTCTCATAAGGGTAACAATTTGTTTTTAAAATTAGAATATACATAATTAATTAGCTTGTGTATGTGACACGGAATTTTTCCAAGTGTCAATAACTTTTTTCCCTTTTTAAGGAAACAACAAAAAAAAAAGGCGTTGAACAAATGAAGTAGCGACACTAGCCGAGAGAGAAAAAAACAAGAAAATGTTAAATAAAGAAATATATATGAATATTTATTTATTTAAAATTAAACAGCAAAATAAAATTAAAAATGATACACTAGTGCAATAGTAATATATATAGATAGTACCTTACAAGTACGTCGCAAAAAAGGCGGGGTGGCGTTAGTTCGCGTAGGACGTCGAAGGCAGGATAGATCGTTTACCGCCGGCGCTCAGTGGCCGACCGCGCTCCAGTAGATGGACTTTGCACCCTAGCTAGATAGCGGAGGTACTCTAATCAGGCTGGACTCGCGATGTAATAAGGCGGCTGATGGAATAGACGAGGCGACCGTGTATTAAACGTATCGCAAAATATACGGTACCGTGTCATATGAATGGTTTATAGCAAATTTCATACAAGTATTCCGAATGTTATTAACAATGTAAATTTGTGATTAGACGTGAGCGCAGATTATATTGCTTTTAATCACTAGAAATTTCTCTTCTGAGTTTATTCTCTTGCCTAGATATAAAGTACTAAAACCTTATGAGTCAATTTTAGCAAGAAAATTAGGCTTTGCTCTTCAATATGGTCGATTTGGAAAAAAACAACATAGAAGTCTATTTTTCTTTTTTTGTTTTCCTAAAATATTGAAAAAAATGGACATTACATCTTTTGAAAATTAGCGAAATAAATGTAAAAAATCATTTTATAATACAGTTTTTTTTTTAGGTGGTAAGTTAAGAGAAACACCTCTACATATAGCAGCAAGGGTCAAAGATGGTGACCGTTGTGCATTAATGCTTTTAAAATCTGGAGCAGGACCAAATGTAGCCACAGATGATGGACAAACTCCAGTTCATGTTGCTTCAAAACATGGAAATCTCATAACACTTCAATTATTATTAGACGACGGTGGTGATCCACTTTTTAAAAATAAAGTAATTAAAAAAAATATTATTTAATAAATTAGAATTTTAAGTATGAAATATTTACAAAATATTTTAAAGTCGAAATAATTCTAACTTGAAATATTTAAATGAAAAATGGAAAAGTATAAAAATATTTAAAAAAAAACATTAGTTTATGACCAACGTTGACCATACTGTAAAAATCAATAAAAAATATACTGTGTGGAATGGAAATTATGACAAAATTTATTAAAATCTTAAAGTAATAAAATTGGCATTTTTCAAATTTGAATCAAATAGCAATATAATGTGGTGGCTTATTGAAAAAAAAATTAATTATACTATGAAATATCTCATAAAAAAAAGTGGTCACTCAATTTGTTTTCTAAAAATTCAAAATTATTGGATTGGAACTAAAATACACTTAATATTCTTGAATTTTTATTAATAAAATAAAATATATTAATATATATTTTATTTTTTTATTAATTGAATCATGACGAAGTAGTATTTATTTATTCTAAAACGCAATATATCCCAGTTTGAATTTATCATATGAGAGAAAAACTTTGTTCTGTTTTACAAACACATCAATACATACAATAATAAAACAATAATTGTATTTTGATATCTTTTAACATCTAATTGTTGTTAAATGACATGAAAACTGTTATTTGACAAACAACAACTTACACAAAGAAATTAACATCAAATCAGTCAAAGAACTCGCTACTTTACACTACACTAGATTCCACTCAAAACTTAACACAAACACAAACCCTTTAATAAAAAAATGCATACTTTTACAATACCTGATAACTCACCACGTCGACTCAAACGAAACTGGAACCGTGACCTTTTAACATAACAAAACAACGCCAACAATATAATCTTAACAAAAGTATAACTTAAATTATCTAATTAAGGTGTTACCATTGGGTGACTTTCTTTAATGTTATTAATGTCATTATTTTAGGTGTCAAAAAAAAAAACTTATTGTAAATTTAAATTATAAAGATCGTTTTTCTAAAAAAAAAAAAACTAGCAAGTAGAATTTTAATGTATTTTGAGATTTTTAGATTTTTTCATCTTCTTGTAACATGTACTTTTTAAAGGTATATGAGTAAAAGAAGAGAAAAATTTAATCTTTGAAAAGAATATAAATTATTTGTTGTTTATATCATTATTATACATATAGATGTATATACATAAAATTTTACTTTCGTCCTATTCAAACCTGTATTTGCATATTTTAGCTTCGATGCAAAGCTGAGAAAGTATTAATTTTACCTTGATGTGTTTTTTTTTTTTTTTTTATTTTTTTTTTTTTGTGTCTGTGAACGCTCAATCTTAGCTCTCGCTGGACCAATATTTGATGAACAATATTTTTGTGAACATTTGACCCTTTAACAGGCCACAGGAAGGGTTTCAAAATGGTAACTTTTTACAAAAAATTAACTTTTTCAACATAACTTTTGAAAATGTTCCGGAAAGACTGACACTTTTATATATATCTTAAATTAAAGCTTATGTAATATACTTTAATTTGAAAAAAAAAATTTGACCTCTGGACTTGTCTTCGTGGTGAAAATGGACATCAAAGTTAATGAAAAACGTACGATTTCCGTGAAAAAATTCTCGATTTTATATTTTATATTATTTAATTTATATTTTATATAACTTTTGGAAAAATGTATGGATCAATATTATTATTTTTTCATAATAAATATTTATATAACCCTTTCATCTGGCACGCTTTTTTTGTAAATCGGATCATACCTCTTTAACACGGGAGGCCAATACTTTAAACATGCGTATTGTTACTAAGATATTTTCAATTTAATTTTTGAAAGTATTCCGGAAATACTGACACTTTTATATATATCTTAAATTAAAGCTTATGTAATATACTTTAATTTGAAAAAAAAAAATTTGACCTCTGGACTTGTCTTCGTGGTGAAAACGGACATCAAAGTTAAAGAAAAACGTACGATTTCCGTGAAAAAAATCTCGATTTTATATGTTATATTATTTAATTTATATTTTATATAACTTTTGGAAAAATGTATGGATCAATATTATTATTTTTTCATAATAAATATTTATATAACCCTTTCATCTGGCACGCTTTTTTTGTAAATCGGATCATACCTCTTTAACACGGGAGGCCAATACTTTAACCATGCGTATTGTTACTAAGATATTTTCAATTTAATTTTTGAAAGTATTCCGGAAATACTGACACTTTTATATATATCTTAAATTAAAGTTTATGTAATATACTTTAATTTGAAAAAAAAATTTGACCTTTGGATTTGTCTTCATGGTAAAAATGACTACCGTATTCAAAAATTTGCTATTTTTGTGTTAAAATTCTGGGTTTTGTATTTTATTTTATTTTAAAATACCTGACAAGGGGAGTACAGATTTTCATAAATATTATATAAATTAAAATTGATATAGTATAGATAGTTAAACTTATTTAAATATGTTTGTTTCTTTTAAGTCGAGAAAAATAACTTTGAAATTTGAACTAGCTTAAATAGCCAATTTTTTCGACCGACGGTATCGACGTACGGTTGCTGAGTTGGTAAAACTTATGTTTTACACACTTGGGGTACGAGGTTCCAACCCGCGTATGGCATTGAATTTTCTGCATTTTTTCTTAATTCTTTTTAAGTTGATATAAATTTTTAACTCGTTTGATTTTTATCTCATTTAGATTCAATAAAGATCAAGGATCTCATCACTTTAGTCGCCCCTTGTAAGAAGAAATTTCTTATTCCTATTAAAATTATTTTACTATATTTTAAGTTTTAGCTTCGATGCAAAGCTGAGAAGATATTTTTTTGTGACTATCATTTATTTTCTCTGCTCTAACTTGACCTACTTTTTTCAACGATACGTCAAATTACTACAATTCGTATCTAGTTGAAGATATTACTCTCAAAAATTGAAAAAAAAATTCTAATTTATCAATTAAACAGTTAGTTATTACATCGTCTCCATAAAGACAATTAAAATCATTAATTTCTAATGTTTTCAAAATATTTATTAACGAATGAAGTTTGATATGATAGGTTTCAACTACAAAATTAAATCATTTTACTTTGTAATTTAATAATTTTATTACTCTGTTTGTGTGTGCTACTATTAGACTATAATATTCAAATTTTTTTCTAACGTGTTGCTATATAAATCATTTCTAAAAAAAATGATTGTTTTTTCTCCTGAATTAACAATTGATTTTTACAAATATAATCAAATTTTATAATAAACTCAATTGAGTAAATCTTTTTAACAACTTTGTTTTGATTGGTACATTTAGTTAAAGTAAATCATTAAAATTAATTCAGTTCTGGATATTTCAATAGTAGAATCTTTTTAAATATCAAAAAAGATACGTTAAATGACTACAATTCGTATCTAGTTGAAGATATTACCCTCAAAAATAATAAAAATAATGAGTTTTTCTGATAAATATACTGTAAATAGTAATTATAAAATTTCCTGACTGCATATTAATCTTAAAAATAACATTGTTTTAATTCTCATAAAATTTTCTATTTAATGATTCATTCTAGTCAACGAAGGAGTAATTTTGCAGAATAGCAGAAAAAATTCCCAACAAACTTTTTTTTTTTTTGTTTTAATTAGGCAATTGGTGGATTATTCCAAAAGCAACATCAACTCTTATTTCTTTAATTATATCATGATTAGTAGTTCTTTGATTTTAAAATATAATATTTGAATATATACTAATTATAATTATTAAATTTAGTATGAAATTGATATTTAATATTGTAATTTAAACGGAGAAATTATAAAAATAATAAAGAAGTTATATTTTGCTTTACTTTTACGTGTATAAAAATTTAAAGGGCTTGATACAATAATTTTCAATAAAAACTGTTTGTTACTATAAAAAAATGCACTGGACTACAAGGAACTTTCATCAGAAGCAAAAATATACTTTTCTAAATCAAATTTTCGCGTTGTTTTCAAATTAGCAATTAGACTTTATCTATCAGTTCTAATTTTTTACATTATTACTAATTACATATAAAATAATAATTAAAAGAAAAAAAAATAGTTTTCAAATTATTACTGATTTGATTTTTAATATGTTAAAAATAATCAGTCCAAATTTTCAATTTTAACCTATTTTTTTGGTTCTTTAAAGTTGATGAAAAATTTTTGATAAAGATTTATGAAAGTTTATAGTAAAAAAAATTGAATATATTACCATAACTTTTAGCTCAATTACAAGTTTAAAATTGGCATCTAGGCCAGTCAACAAAGGAAAAATTTCTTAAAAAAATTCCGAACCAAATTTTGTTTTATTAATAGTTGAATTAAAAAATGTATAATGACATACTAATAGTCCTCGTTGATTAAAATTGAGCTTTTTTTTTACAGCCTCGCAAAAGTTCAAAAATATGAGCTTTTTTAATTTTCTCAAAAAATATTTAACTTACAAAAAAAAGTTTCGTACAAAAGTTGTTTAAAAGACAATTATAAACAAAAAAATTATCTTATATTTTTTCATTTAAACAAATATTTTTCGAGTTACATTACATTTAATATGAGTACTAAAATTTATATTCCATTTTTTTCATTTTACGGTTACTTTTTATCATGTTACACTTACGTTAGACACAATGTTATAAATGCATATGTGTGTATGTGTCAGTTTATTTATTTATTGTATCATTAAAGTGTAGTGTATATTAATATACAAGCGATAGAGTAGGTAATTGATTTGACGCTATATTATTTAAACCCAACTAAACGCTAAATTGTACATTCCGAAACAACAATCATATTATGTCAATTGCCACCGGAATTTCTGGTAATATTTTTCTTTTTCTTTGCCTTAATCCCAACTACTTGGGGTCGGCCACCCTTATCCTAAGCTTCCACTTGACACGATCTCCCACATCTTCTACGCTCACATCAGCTGTCCTCAAATCGCATTAAATAGTATCCCTCCATCTCTTTTTTGGTCTTCCTCTATGTCTTCTTCCTTCAACATTCATTTCTATAACTGTTTTTACAGCTTCCGATTCTTCTCTTCTCATAACATGACTAAACAATCTAAGTCTATTTTTTTTCATCTTATCCAAGATTGATGCAACACCTATACTTCCACAGATTTTCATCAAAGCGTTTCTTATGATAGTGATTTTAATCATTGTCAGATATCATCTATACTTGTCCCATCTATGCCTAGACCCCACTGTGCTACCATTTTTTTTATATCAAAACTTAGTCAATTCTAGCATGCCGTGTAATGTCAATAAATAATTATTTATTTTTAGATTGGTGAGACACCTTTGCATTTGGCATGTAGAAGTTGTCAAGCTGATATTGTAGAACGACTTATTAATTTTGTTAAAACAAAACAAGGCGATGAAATAGCAAATTCTTATGTAAATTCTGTGAATGAAGATGGTGCATCAGCATTACATTATGCAGCTAATATTACAAAATCGGAAGTTAACGAATCAAAACCAAATCACGATGCTAAAGTCATTAAGTTATTATTTGAAGGAAAAGCTGATATAAATTTGCGAACTAAACAAGTAAGTATAAAATATAATTATATTAATACTAAATACAATATCTATTAAACTGCATGTTAAAGTTGTCACACAAATGACGTTAATTTTAAAAATAAAATAGCACTTTTAATTAAAGTATATAAATATTATATTTATATTTTCATATGCAGTACATTTTTCTATTCAATTATAAAATAACACACTTGCAGTTTGTAGTAGCTTGAAATCGCTAATTCCATAGTAGTGCACACTAAATATCACAACATGTAAAATAACTAATAACTTATAATGTTTATTTTTAAGTTAGGATGCTGCAAAAAGAGCTATTTTTTAAGTATTGAAGTAGATTTTTATACGCTTCGTTTAAAAAAAAAATTAAACTAATTTTTATAATAGTAAAACGGGATAGTGTTTTATCCTGCATCTTGTCAAGAGAATCAATTATAAAATTCAAATAATGCCTTTGTTACAAAATGATACTGTCCAATAGTGTAAAAAAATATTCAACAAGGGGTACCTTTATATTTTTTCAAAATTTTACAATAATATTTTGGCCATTTATGTTTTGGTGGATAGGGAAAATAATATTTCCACGATTCCTCTGATGGAAAATAAAATTGCGTTGTCCCATCTTGGGTGTACGTGAAGACAACAAGCGAGAGGAAATAAAGTAATTAAAAACGGAGAAGGCCTAAGAAATAAAGTTATTGATACCAGCCGGACAACTTATGTGGTAGCTATTACGCAGTAGTGTGTATAGGCCAATCCAACGCTTATGTAGCTTATGCTTATTGTGACGTAGGGAAATCATCACTTAACTCTAAGCTGAACTCGTGTATAAGGGAGAAATATAAATGCAAAGTAAGAATATATACGTGGAATGTTGAAAAATTAATTGGTAGAAGTAGATAATTAGTAGTCGTATTGAAGAGGAGAAAAGTTAACATATGTTGTGTGCAGAAAACTAAGTGGAATGGAGAGAAAGCAAGGGAAATAGACGAGGATTATAAAATAATAGACTCAAGTAAGTCAAATACAAAGAATGGTGTAGGGATAATAGTGAATGTAGATATGAAAAGTAAAATAATAGAAGTAGCTAGGAAAAGGGATAGAATTATAGTCCTAAAATTAATTCTCGAGGAAAAAGTGTTTAATATAATAAAAAATTTTGGAGAGAGTTGGATGAGATGATGCAAGTAATAACTGGTAATGAGGATGTGGTGATAGGTGGAGATATGAACGAGCATGAAGGTAATGAGAGGAGAGGATATGAAAGGTTACATGGAGGGTATGGTTTTAGTAGGAAGAATGAGGCTGGAGAGAAAAAGCTGGATTTCGCAATATCGTATGATTTTGCTAAGATTCTTATTTTACAATGAGGAAAGAACATTATTTAACTTATTAGAGTGGAAGTAATAGATCACAAATTGATCATTTGATGTGGAAGACGAAAACGTTAAGTTACTAAAAGATTGTAAATTAATCCCAGACGAGAATGTAACTTCACAACATCGACTAATGACAATTGAGTTGTGATGGATAGGATAAGGGTGACCGTCCCCAAGTAATTGAGATTAAAGTGATGAAAAAAAATCATAGGAAATTTAATTTTCATCTTAAATAAAGCAATTTTATAGTTTTTTATTTTTATTTTTTTCAAATTAATTTAATGTAATTTAGTTATTCCAAAACTGATATAAACATACAAAAATTTAACCTAAATAACATTCTAGAATTCACAAAAAAATTCTACTTATTAAAATATTAAACTACAAGCTAATAAAAAAAATATTATCCATTTTATTATTTATCTTTGTAAACTATGTTAAATATCAAGTTTATTGTAAAACACTATTTCTAAGAATAGTTTTAGATGTAATTTTTGAAAGTTATACTAAAATCTAATCATTTTCATACAATTAGTTTGAGAGTAGACTGAATAAAATGTTGACTCATTTAAAAATAATTTTGCACATTTATTTTTGGAGATATTTGCGTCTAAAGATTTAGAAAAGGTGAAAAGTGGAAAACTGTTCAAGCATTTTAATCATAACACATAGATAGGACTATAGATACATTGTTCGCCCTTTTTTTTATAACTTATAACTACAATAACTCAAAAACTAGTATTATTAAACTAATTATCGACTCTTATCAACATTTTATCTAGTTTGTTCTCCTTCACATATAAAAATATTTGTAGGTTAAAAATATTTATATCCTTTCAAAGCGGTATTTAAAAACCGCTTTGAGAAGTGGTTTTATTTTACAATAAACTTGAAGTTTTTCTTATTTTTTAAAAATAAAAATAATGTAAGTCTAAGTTTAGATTTTAGAGGTGGGCAAGAACTTTTTTTTGTCCATTTAGAGTAAGTGTGCCATTTAATTAGCTGACATTCAGCACTGGTCACACGTTTGCCACTTACTACCTGTTCCTGTTCTCTGTTATAAATTTCAGAGACAGAAAAGTGTATGTTCAAAAACACTGAATAGGGAGGGTTTGTCTGTACTAATCGAAAGTGTAAAATAAATAGGTAACAGTTTATAACTTAACTATCAAATAATAAAAAATAATAAGAATGCAGTTATCAAAATTTATACTTAATAAAAAAACCATAATGTTAATTATGTGCTATTCAAGTTTGAAAAATGAGTTTTCAATGTTGTTAATAATATTTCCTTTAGGTCAAGTATCATTTGTTAGTTTAAAGCAAAATTCTCTTAACGTTGAGAAAAATTTTTGGTTTTTATTTTTTTTAACTCTTTCTTACCATGGTAACCCTTCTGTTGTATCTTGTTAATGTGTCCTGTTCAAGTGTTGCGTTTCAATCTTTTCTGTTTCATCATTTACAAGTTTTCTTCATTATCTTTTTATTTCTTTTCTAATATGATTGTGTTAAAGCTTTCATAAATTGTTATAGATTGTATTCTTCCCTTTAACCTAAACAATATCTGTAAAATTTGTTTAACGAATTTTTATTTATTTTTTAGCATCATGAAACAGCATTACATTATTGCGCAGTAGCTGGTAATAATGATGTCCTTTCTGCAATGTTAGATGGAATGTCACCATCTGAAGTACAGCAAGCTATGAACCGTCAAACAAGTATAGGGTGGACTCCATTATTAATTGCTTGCCATAGAGGTCATATGAGTTTAGTCAACACTATGTTAAATAATCATGCTAGAGTAGATGTTTTTGATAATGAAGGAAGATCTGCTCTTCACTTAGCTGCTGAAAGAGGGTATTTAAAGGTAAAATTTTTTATTTTTTTTCATAACAATTTAGAATAATAAAAATTGTATAAATTTCAAGGTATGTGATGCGTTACTAACTCATAAAGCATTTATTAACAGTAAATCACGTGTAGGCTGGACAGCACTACATTTAGCAGCTATGAATGGGTTCGCAGATCTTTGCAGGTAAATTTATTTGTTGTTAAGAGATTTGTCTATTTAAAAGGTAATAAATTATTTCAAAAGATACCCTAGTTTATATTCCTTGCTATTTTATATTTTAGCTTCGATGCGAAGCTGAGAAGGTATTAATTTTACCATGATGTGTTTATATTTTTTTTTTTTTTGTGTCTATCACTACTTTTTCTCAGCTCTCACTGGACCGATTTCTTTTAACAATACGTCAAAAGATCACAAATTGTATCTAGTTGAAGACATTATCCTTAAAAATTGAAAAAAAATTCCCCCGTTCCCCGTAAATGGGGGAAATATCCAAAAAAATTACAAATTTAAAAATCGATAAATTTTGTCATTTTTTTACTTTTTTTTCTTATTACTTCCATAACTCTTTCAAAAATCAACAAATCAACATAATTTTTTTTAAACTAAAACCTTAGATATTTCCCTTGATATAATTTTTTTGGAAATTTAACACTTAACCTGTTCATGGGGGGGGATTTATAATTACAACTTTTTTACAAAAACTAACTTTTTCAACTTAATTTTTGAAAATGTTCCGGAAATACTGCGTCCTTTAAACATATATCAAATTAAAGCTTATTTTATGTACTATAAAATGAAAAAAAAAAATTTGTCCCGACGACTAATCTTCTATGCGCAAATGGCTACCGTATTCAAAAATATGCTATTTTTTATTAATATTCTGTGTTTTGTATTTTATTTTATTTTAAAATATCTTATTAGGGGAATAAACTGACTTTCATGAATATTATATAATTTAATTGACATAGAATAAAGTTCATAAGACATATGATATTAAACTTATTAATTTTTTTTTACTTTTTTAAAGTCAAAAAAGTAATTTTTAAATTTAAATTAGCTTAAATAGCCAATTCTATCATGCAACAAAAGCAACAAACAGTTGCCGAATGGGTAACACCTATATGTTTCACGCTTAGGGTACGAGATTCATATCCGTCTTAGGCATTTAATATGTTGCATTTTTTCTTGAGTTAGAATAGAATTTTCAAATAATTTGATATTTATCTCATTTAGATTCAATAATTTCAATAAATATAAAGGATCTTATCACTATAGTCTCCCCTCGTGAGAAGAAATTTATATTCATGTTAATATTATTTTACTATGTGGTTCTTTTTGTGGCTACGATTTATTTTGCCAACCCTCACTTGACCTACTTTTTTCAACAATACGTCAAAAGATCACAAATTGTATCTAGTCGAAGACATTACCCTTAAAAATTGAAAAAAATTCCCCCGTTCCCCGTAAATGAGGGAAACCTCCAAAAAAATTACAAATTTAAAAATCGCTAATTTTCGAAATTTTTTCAATTTTTTTTAATTAAAAGTGCCATAACTTTTTCAAAAATGAACATATCAATATAATATTTTTTTTTATAGATGCTTGATGTCTTTACCTATCATTTGGTATATTTTNATTTTTTTTTATAGATACTTAATGTTTTTACTTATCATTTAGTATATTTTTTTTGTAAATTTGACCCTTTATCTGCCCAAAGGGGGGGATTTAAAATGACAACTTTTTCACAAAAAATTAACTTTTTCAACTTAACTTTTAAAAATGTTCCGGATAGTCTGACACTTTTATATATATCTTAAATTAATGCTAATATAATATACTTTAATTGAAAAAAAAAAATTTGACCTCTGGACTTGTCTTCACGGTGAAAATCGCTATCAAATGCTATTTTTGTATGAAAATTCTCGATTTTATAATTTACATTTTTTACTTTAAAGTGCTATAACTTTTTAAAAAATGTATGGATCAATACAATTTTTTCATGAGAAGTAGTATTTATATACATCTTTCATTGGNTATTGGACATACTTTTTTTTTAAATCAGACTATTTCCCTATATGTGGGGGGGCTTAAAATTTAAAAAATGCATAGATAAAGTAGAACTCTTTCAACTTAACTTTTAAAAATGTTCCGGAAGGTCTGACACTTTTATATATATCTTAAATTAATGCTAATGTAATATACTTTAATTTAAAAAAAAAAAAATTTTACCTCTGAACTTGTCTTCACGGTGAAAATCGCTACCAAATGCTATTTTCGTGTGAAAATTCTCAATTTTATTTTTTACATTTTTAACTTTATAATGCTATGACATATTGAAAAGTGTATTGAGCAATATAATTTTTTTATGGGAAATAATATTTTTAATAATCCCTTTTTCATTCAACATACTTTATATAATCAGGTTATTAATTTTTTAAAATTAAACACTATCTAAAGATTT